AAACTGGTTGATCCACTCTAAGAAGGTGCTATTTAAGAGACTGAGCTGAAAACAGCACCTCAGACTGAGGAAGTCTCTTGGATGAGAGACGAAACGTTTCTAGAATTTTTTTTGCTTTGTTTTGCTTTTTTTTTTTTTTTTTGAATGTCCAGAGGACCAGATTGAACTTTTTTGGATTTTTCTACCTGGATTATTGAGCATGCATCAAGATACTTTTCTTCAATGTTCTTAATTCCTATGTAGAAATGAGTTGGATGTCCAATGATTCTGAATTATAAGTGTTTTACCTTTTCACTGGTGGGAGCAGGTGTCATCCCAGCATGTCCATCTCCTTGTTTGATGTCTACTCCAACACAATCACATTTCAAGATTAAATATTAACATTTGAATTAAAGTTGTCTAAATCAATTTTAAATATATGTCTATGTTGGGATTTGAAATTTCCCTCTGCTTATAATCTTTAAAAATGTAAATTGACAAAAGCATGCTTTGACCAACAGGTGTCTCTGACTCCTCCCATTTTTCAACGTTGAAGCCCAAATATCCAGATTTATAGGAGTTGCCATGTTGTATTTTTGGAACCAGAATCTTTGCTGTTGAAATGAAGGCTGCATGGCTCACCTCCCTCTGCACAAAACCACTGACTGTTTTAGGCCTCAGAATCTGTTTGCTGGAGAACAACGGGAACTAAGCTGAACAACGTTCCAGGGAGGACCTCGAACGAGAAGTCCCTGAACGAGAGAAGTTCAGAGGAACAATGAAGAAGTCTGTTCTGGGATGATCTCACTACTCCGAACGGTTCTCTGCTATCCTTACGGAGACGCTGGAAAGCGTTGAAAGAGAACTCTACACCGAGGCCGAACTATCATCTGCAAAGGTAAAGAGTCGATCTCAACCAAAGTGTACCGTGGGATAAGCTGGGTCCAAAGGAGAGTGTTGTTCTGGTTATAACAGACAAATTCCCTCACCCATCTCTCTCCATTTAAACCTCATTTCCCATCTTTAAAACTCTTCTATCTGCCAGTAATTAATCCAGATATTTTCAGAAATGTCTGTTGTAAAGCTGGAAACCATGGCCGTATGGTTTCCTAATTGTAAAGCTTGCTAATTAAGCTTGTTATTGCGTACAATCAGAATAATCACGTGTACAATGTTTGATGTTAAACTTTGATTCTGTTAATAAATGACCGCATTCATTTTGATGGGTCAAAGAAAATTAACGTCTCACGTCACTGATCTCTGTCACATATGTCAAGTAGCTCGAAAAAGAGAGAACCCGTTTAAATTAAGTAAAATATCAGGTACTTGAACTAGTCCAGATATTATAACGTGTAGTGGAGCTCCGAAGCTAATGAAGCTAACCGACCTATCTCACTACATACTGGTGCTTTTTGGCATTGGCAGATTCCTGTTATCAGCTTTTGAAGAAGACATTGGCAGAAGTTTCGGCCATGACAAAACTGCCAAGTCTGTGTGAAGGTTTGATTGATGCTACGTGTACTCAAAATCAGCTGATTTACGAGCTAAACCATAAGATAGAAGCAATTTGTGAGAATTGCAGGCCACCTGCGGCCTTTAGGACTCGCCAGCATGTTGGAGACGACTTTGAATGAGGCTCGTAGCACGGATCAGTAGAATGCCCATAAATTTGGCCATTTTGGATCTTGAAAGTACCAGCAGGACTCAAGGCTGACAAGAAAAAAAACAGTCTACCTGAAGAAAATCAACAATTGTGGCGTATATGAATGTGACTCCCCCGTTTGGCCTTGAAAGCAGGCCGACTGTCTATTTTCTACATGGGTAAACTAAGGAAAAAGCTTTGTCTACCCCCCCCCCCCCCCCCCCGAGAACGGACATGTGTGGCTGATCCGGCTGATACCACATTTATCCAAAATTACTCATTTCATGCTTTAAAGAAGCTCTTGTGCCACCATGACCATGTGCAGAGGAGTAAGCAGGGTTTCCTTAGTACTGATATCCTGGTTTCAAAAATACATCCTGGCAATCCACTTTAACTGAGGTCTTATGGCTTCATTTTTTTCAAAACACGAGGTGGATTATTACATCTGCAGGTTTCTTTAACCGTCAGTGATCTGCATGCTGTTTTTACGGAAAGAAAGTGTAACCTCTGGGGGTGTTCAGGTGAGAGCAGGAGAAGTTTTACCTGAGTTACTTCTGGTGAAGTTCAAGTCCCCTTTTGTGGAAGTCCTGTGAAAACTCATAGCACTTAGAGAACTGTTACAGAAAACTATAAACACTAGATAAGTGATATGTTTTTGTGAACATTACGTGGTAATCTCTGTTGTTGCTGTCTTGTTGATGTTGGTTTTTGTGTCTGAAGACTAAGAAGGAAAATAGTTAAAT